GCTTCAGTGGGTGGGATTCACCAGTGAGCTGATCGATGTCCTTTTTCCAATGTGCTGTCTGATAGAGGTAGCCACAGCATGCCACCGCATGTTCTAGTTTCATTTTCGACAAACCACAAAAAATAAGAATGCGAATGAATGCAAGTGTGTACCAAACCCACTACATATATATTTTTGGAACAACATTAACATAGTTTTTTTGGATCATACCAGTTAATTACATATAGGTTGGTGACAACCCTACTCTTGGGGGTCCCTCCATGTTTGGTGGTGGGTCATGTCAATCTCACAATGATTTTTCCCGTTCTTCAGATCGGTTTGTCTGAAAATAGAGTACCCCCTAAATCCATCTAAATCCATCTATATATATCCATCTAAATCCATCTAATTCCACTATTTAATCAGATTCAATCATAATTTTCCTTCTCAAACTTGCCACTGGTGAGTCTGATCATGTCAAATCCTTCATCCTCAGGTCCTGGCCCTGAGAACGCTCATTCACTCCATCCTTCATACTTTGATGCTCGTGCTTTGAACCTGGCCCAGCCTGGCCCAGATGGGCTACAGTTTGGTGGTTTTTTCTCGGACCATGAGAGTGTCAGGGATTTCACAATCTGTTGCTTAGAGACACGAGACCTTGTGACATGTTCAGACAATCTCTAAATATCTTTAGGCATGTAGAGATCGTTCAGTGAACACTCGAGATCTAGCTGCATGACATTGCAATCATCCCACATCAACAGGCTGTAGATTTGACATGTTTTTGACCCTAAGTTGAGGTGGACATATGGAATCATGTGCGCCCCAAAAAAACGATTTAAAGTGCGGTAGTTGACAACTTATACTTGTAGTGTGCGTGGGTCCGCCGCGATTTGTCGGATAAAGTCCAACGAAGCTGGCAATCTTTCGTGAGGATATCGGTTCTGGACCCAGAACTGATATACCTGCTACGCATGCCATGTGCAATGCGTAGCTTGGGTGCCCACAATTCCACAGTAAGTATTCAAAAAAAAACTAATCAGCTTTGAGCACTGGTTTAGATGGAGTCAAACCAGCGATCGGGTCAGAGAGAGGTCACAGTTTGGACAGGACAATGACAGAAGCAAGCCAATCGGGCACTTTAATCCCGGTCAGATCCCTTTCAATTCAGCCACAAAGGCGTGAAGACATTCAAACATTCTAAAGATCAGTGGGACACGCAATCCAATTCTTGCGGTGTTTGTATACCTTCCGTAAAGCAAAACTTTCTAGGTCTCGGTTTCTTCTTGTCCTCGAGTTGCTTTCGTTGCAGCCAGCGCATGGAATCATGGCGCTGGCCAAAGCTGGTGGTGTCATTCTTGTGTACCTGGAAGTTGTTGGGCTTCCCCTGCTGTTGCTAGAAAAAGGCCCTGGGTTCTAGAAGTTTCTCTGGGAAAATGGCATCCGAGCAAGCCAAAAACCGGCTTGTCTTACGGGCCTTCTTAGATATATTTTTCAGCAACAGTGTGGGATTCAATTCGGAAATGGGTGTGTGTGTGTGGGTGAATGGGTGAGTGGGTGGGTGGGTGGGTGGGTGTGTGTGGAACATCTGAAGAGATGTAAAACTTCTACCTTGATTGACGGAATTGCTTTTTCTTATCAGGTTCTTTGCCATTACAATGAACCTGTTTTGAGTCTTTTACCAGGCGTTTATCCAATCTCCTTTTCAATTGCAGGGGGCGTGACGGTTGATTTCCTAGTCACGCCAACGAAGCTATGGAAATCAACTGGATGGAAGTTTGGACACAAACTTCTGTACCTGCAGTGTCGCTCCTGGGCGCATTCAAGTCGCAGCTGGGGGACACGTCATACTGTGTTTTCTGTTGTTGTTAACTGCACTGTCAAGTGCCAACCAAACTTCAACCTGAGGTTTCTCGCTTCTGATCATTCAATGGCTCCTGTCAGGTTTAATTGGAGTTTTTTTGCTCGTAAGATGCATTCCACATCAGAATTCGCAAAGATGTTTCTGAGCAAGTGTGTGATTCATGCTGGATTCGTCAAGGTTGCATGAACCCTCGGGGAAAGCCTTTCCAGGCTAAAAATTGGCACGTTGAAACGACCTCTGAATTGACACTTTTGAATTAGTAATTCGTCTAAGTATCGTGAAACAGCTGGCCATTTTTCGGTTTTCACCCTGTCGACTGGCGTTTGGTTGAACAGCGTGCCGCTGTGCCTGGCTTCACCCTTTCTTTTGTCTGAATTTACACTTTTGAATTAGTAATTCGTTTAAGTAAAGTGAACAGCTGGCCATTTTTCGGTTTTCACCCTGTCGAATGTCGTTTGGTTGAATGCCGCTGTGCCTGGCTTCACCTTTTCTTTCATGAAAAATCAGGCAATAGGACATGCTTTAGGTGTGGTCTTTCTTTCTTTTTATGGTCGTTGGTGAGGTTCAATTGTGCACGTAATTCAAGGGTTGACGACGTAAGCCGTTTACAGGGTTGTGAAATGAAAGCCGAGGGCCTTTGAGCCTTATCACGAAAAA